AATTATTTTTTCTAAACATGACACACTAAGCACAACACTAAGTACACTCCTGTATTATAATTTCACTTTCTCCGGGAACAATAAAGAATTACGTTGGAGGGGATCAAAGAATCAGTAAAACTGTTAGATTTGAAGTAAGTCTCACAAAGTTTTGTGCAAACCAAATGCCTTATCAGCAACTAGTACATTGTGTTATTTTCTAAACACTGGTTGTCTATGAAACATGGAAAATGGGTTTTCTTGTACTGGAGGGTTATAAGGTGGATGCATCTAGACTATGTAATGTTGATATTCTCCTTTGGGACTTCAAATCTTGCAATCACCACTTCATATAGTATAGAGCTGGATCACTATAAGCAGCTGGGATGCGTGAAGATGTACTTTTTACTAATCATGTCGTTGTACATTAAGTGAAACGGATATTATAATTTTCTCAGACAGTCTTCTGTTCACGATGAAATAAGTTACGGAAAACACCCCTCCAGACATGAATATCAGAACAAAAAATTCGGTGAAGAGTCTGTTTTTGGCGAATTTATTCCAATGACAATTACACATAATTATTTTGTGTATATATACATTAGGATTGTAAAACAAAAATAAAACAAATTACAGTTTGTTCCATATTAATGAGCACAACATATATAACTTAAGCACATAAAACAAAAGCATTCATCATTGTTCAGTGAAAGTGTAAACTTAGAATCACAAGACCTAATGTTCATCACTCATTTTTTCATTAAAGAAGAAAAGACCAGTAATTCATACTAGTTTAGCTATGCTTGCAAAAGTATATTTTTTTTATTTACCTCTGGGTATAAAAAGTGTTTTCACTGAAACAAATGTGCACCATAGGCAGTTGTTTGCTTTATAAATACATCAAAGCAAACCGAAAGTGCATAACTTCTAGAGTTGTTGGACATCTGATAAGTAGAAGAGACTAGCCAAATGTGCAAACACACAATATATCTGTTAGTCTTTTGAAATTAGAAGCTGATTCCTTAAATTCTTTCCGTAAGTAAACGCAGATCTCGCTGCCAGTTGTTTCAATAATCCGGTTAAACATTAGACTTAATATAATATCTCATTGAAAAATGAATCTTCATCAAATGATATTAAGATTCCACTTCTCTTCAGTTTAATTAACTTATGAAAAACTATCATTGTCTCAATGTGATACCATCTACTTGTTTCCTGTTAACATAGTTTTATTTCTGTTAGTTTAGTCTTTTCATTGACGGTAATCACAATCTCCACTTTATTTGTGCATATATATTGCCTAACTTTGACAGTATCTCTGTATAATAGTAACTAAAATTGGGAAGTAAAATTTGAGAGGATAAATTATATTCCAAAAGTGAATAAACTGGGATTCGTGTTAATGAAAAAATCACAAGAAGATCCATATCTCTTGAATAAATCAATGCGTTAGAATATGTTTTCTGCAGAATGCTCAATTAATTCTGCTTTGATTTTTATTTAACGTTTTAGGAAATTGTACTGAAGTGCGTTACGTTTTATGGTGAAATAAAAGGTAGAAATAAGGTTTACATTTGAGCGTAACTCATCTGCAGGCATTATTCCTGTCCGTCATCTGAAAAAGGTAGTAACAGCTTAACTCCTAGTAGGCATCATTTAGGTTGTTGTAGTAACTATTTAGCAAAGTGATGGCTGTGGTGCTACTGAAAATTACGTTAAAACTTTCCATCTACGGAATAAAAATGTTGCTAATAAACTACCAGATAAGCACTATTTTCATTATATGAGATCACAGAAGACTGAAATACAATCATTAATAACTAAACAGTATGCCCGAGGATGAATTAAACTGAAATTACACCTGGGTCACTGCTGGTTTCGAACCAGTGACTCTCGGATTACTGGCGGGACAGTCTATCATCTAAAGTAAGCACTACAATCACTATTGGTTGTACTCGGCTATCACTTTAACAAGTGAAACCCAATTACACATATGACGCCACATTAGCTTCTATGGTCAATTTTGGTCATACGAAATCAGAAGACAGGGAGCAGATAGTTTAGTTTCGATTAGGTTACCTGGAATAGACCTGGTTTGGTAAACTGGTATTGACGTAGCATTTAACGACTAAATGTGACGCCAGTTCTCTTAAATCAAGCAAATTAGTTATGAAGAGGCCTGTGTTCCGAATATGGTTAAGACCTAAGTTTCTGTGTTTCTATTTAATTCTGCATTTCACATTTTTCAAGTACATTGTCTGTGAACTGTGCAAAAATGAAAATAAATGCTAACAAGAAGTTATCTTTAAACGCTTTAATTATTTCTTAACTGAATAAAAGTGCACAATTTTTATGAACAGCTCTTTTGATATAAGTATGAAACATGTCACTGTGGTAGAGTATAACCCCATTTTGGATAAGATTTCATTTTGATATATATATATAAATGAAGGAAAAAGTCGTATGAGTGAATTGATATGATTATGATTGTGCTTGAAACGTCATCAGTTAATATTACGATGTGATTTATGAAAATAAAAATTTATCAATAATGGAACAGCTCTTTTCTTTGTAGATAACAAAAAAGAGAAAATTATCCCTTATTTGTATAAATTAGGCACTTAGATTTTTTATTCATAGACATAATTTCAAGTAAATCTTACAAACTGACTCCTAAAAAGATTAGACTGAATGATATTCAGGAAACTAAAATTTAGTGGCTAAACGGTGTGTTCCTCATAAAAAAAGAACAAACACTGTATTTTTGTTGATTAAGCGTGGGGATTCTAATCCTATTGGTTGTTAGTACGATGCAAAAGGATGGTGAGCACATTTGTCTGAAAGTTTCCCTTATAACTGGAGGGTCCTAGGTTTGAACCCAGGTAGGTGTGTACTGCTGAAGAGTTTGTAAATAGAATGAAACAGCTGTAGGGTACTCCCTGATTTTTCAGCAGTTCCCTAAATGATGTCAGCACGTGATCAAACCTGTAAACACTCATTTCACTGCAAATCAAGATTTTATAATGTTTGCGATTACTTTGTTATAACTAAAAGTAACTACGTAGCACAGGTCTTTAAATTTATGAAAAAATAAGCGAGAAATAATGATGTGGCTGATCAGTAAGTTTGACTTAGCAACCTACTCTTTGCAATTCTGTCAATGTACAGGGACGAAGGAAAAGATATTAACTACTCAATGTTGGTAGCATCATATTTTAAATCGGTAGGAGTCCAAAATCACGTTGGTTTCGATTCCCACTACACGGCTAATAAGCGAAGTACTTGATCTAAAACCTGGTGGTTTCTAAAAGATTATTATTAGGTGTCCTTAATAATCATCAGACTAAAACTTTTATACACATGTATATATTCATCCATCACCAAATTTCAATCGTTAGAAAAAAGATGTTGGTTTGTGACAAAGTCTATTCTGGTAAATCTTATCTTCTATGGCTTTCTAGAAAAGCCTTTCCAGTGTTCGCTTAGATAAAAGTTATTCTTTTTCCTCAAAACTCGCCGGTACTTTTAGTCTGGAAAAAACTAATGGCTTTGTTCGTGAGAAGTAGGTAAAATATAAGTGATTGTAGAACATTGCACATGTTCCCATCGATATAGTATATTTATTTTCAGCTTCAATTTTGCAGGATTTTAATGATTAGATATTTATTTATACAGTGAACATTGTTGTTTGTTTATTTGTTTGTTAGAATTAAATTGTTTTCATTATCAGAGTATCGAAGAAACAATTTTTGTTTTGATCAATTTAAAAATGAAATAGTCTCAAAATCTTGTATACCTGTTTCGTTTATTTTTTTTTTACCCAAATACACATGAACTTTCTAGTCCGACAGTTTGAAAATATATAATTCAGAAAAAAAACAATGAAAGTATACAAATTATAAATTAAAAATAAATGAACAAAATCACGCTCTTATCTTTGTTGAGAGACATTTCGAGCGCTTATTATTAATTAAATAAATGAGCCTAACTCTGAAATTATGATTTGTAGGTAAAAAGTTCTAGGCAGAACATTTAAAGACACATAAGTTTAGTGTAGCTTACTCAGGTCATGCATGAAAGAAACTTTCACTTTAGACTTTGCAGTCAAATGAAAGACATTTATGTGTATATATATTAAAATGGAAAGTATTCAGCCTTGGACCTGGGACAAAACAGCTCTATGACCATGCTTGGTTTTCAACAGTCCAGCAGATGATGGCACGTAAGATCAACAGTAATTTGATGCTCACAGTGGACTTATACGGCAACTATCTCTGAAAATTATAGTGTATGTATATGCTGATATTTTTCTCTTCATCCCCTGAGTTAAATTTGGAACATAGGACTTTAGGCATTTGAAGTAGCGGTGTTATTTATACAGGGTTGGACTGCTAGCCTCATACGTAATATTCTCTCTTCCTCTAGCTCACTTTTAGCTGACAAACAAGGCGAGGTTTCAGGATGCATCGCCCGGGAATCAAACTGTAGCTGTTGGCGTCGTTAAAAAGCATTTTTACTGTTGAACAACAAACGCACACATATTCAGGAATATATTTATGTTTGACAGTCGATTTCATTTCTGCACTTTTAAATTTTTAGTGAGCATTTTAATTTTTTATATTTTGAGTATCAAAAGTCCAAAATTACTTCTTTTCTAACCTTTAAATTTGCCCGTCTGATTTCTAATGATGTGCTTATCTAAGCATTCCCTGGTTTAACAGAGTTACTAAGTGCAATTGGATGACACTTAAAACGCCAACAGAATCTGAACCGTTAACGTTCAGGATTATGGTTCAAGGAATGTGTTGCTTAACGTGCAATTTTAAATTTTGAAAACTGTTTTTTATCAAACATGCATTTTTCAAATATTTATATGAAATGTTTGTCAAATCTTCTTTTAAAAATGTGTCAATTTATAACTTTTCAAAATTTCTACAAACATTCTCATCGTGGAAACTGCTTTATTTATTTTATTTTATTTAGAACTTGTGAATCAATGATTCTGTTCTCTCGCTTTACAGGACTAACTAAATATGTCTACTAATCAGACAATTGAAATGTTAAGACCATATATGAAAGATTTTGACAGTATTGTTTTACCCTATTGGTACAAATTTCAACAACCACATCCATATTATCAGTATACAATTGGATTATTCATTGCATGCGTTGGAATCACTGGTGTATGCCTTAATTTATTAGTCATCACATTTTTTACAACGTAAGTTTAAGTGCTCTTTTAATGGATATTATTATATCTGTCTGAACAAAATCCATACAAGTTGAGAAGCATTGACATCAAACATCTTATTTAGGACTTAACAGTAATTATTAAACTACATATATTCAGAATGCTTATGACTGAATAAGGAAATATGTCGGACAGTAAATAATGCAGTCATTTGGTAAGTAAAAGGCTCATACCACAGTAAAACATACTGCTATTTACTGAAATGAAAGACGGCCAACAAAGAAAGTGATACATTAATCTATGTTCATGATATCCATGCAACAATAAGGAGATATATACATGTAGTGTATAGCTTTTCAAATAATACCGAATAAATAAATCTACAATAAGTTCTTTCATCAAGCTTCACACAAGCAAACTTTACTAAAATTAACTGTAGCATACACAGCAAAAATTTAAGAAAAGATGTGTTTTACTATATTAACACGCTGAGATTATTTGAAAATCTTTTGTAACGATTCAACCTAGTTTACATCTCAGACTCTTTTGTAATATCTAAGATCTTGATATTCACAAAAGTCCACCTGGGTTTGAGAAGCATGTTGTTCTTTACGCCATGATCAGTTTGCTGCTGCCCAAAGGAGACAATACATATAATTTCTTTGAAACGTTTGTACATTGTCGAGTAGATCATTTAATTATAATTACATTTCGGTAGTTGTTTGCATATTTTGGTAACATTTCGAGAAAAGTTACTTCCTTTAAAAACACCAATGTTTGGAAATTTTTTTTTTAATTTACACGTTCAAAACTGTTAATCAAATATGTAGTCCTTTTATTCTGTTTCTTCATCTTTAATCCAAAATTTTGTTTCATATTGTTGACAGTTGTTTTGAGTCATTTTTGTTGCATGTTTTCGGAGTGGCATTTATTTATGAATGCATATTCTGTTATTTATCTTTCTATATCCTCAATGTTACTCCTTAAACACATGCAACAAAGGTGACTTAGAACAAAATTCTGGATACAAAATAAATTGACTACATATGTGATTACAAGTTATAAATGTGTGAATTAAAAAAACCATTTCTAAACGTTGGTGTGATCATACGGAGGAACGTTTCTCAAAATGTTACCAAAATTTTAAAAAACTATTACTGTATCTAAACGTATATCATGATATAATTGTAATTAAAGATGACACACTGTTAAGAATGTATTTTATCTGCTCCGAATGATATATCCCTGTATAAAACAAAATGTTTACTATGACCACAAGTACTCATTCCCTTTTTTTCATTTGGCCTTCCTTTTCTTTTTAGTCTAGAAAATTCTTAGTAAGTACGCATACGAAATAACTATCGGTTAATATCCCCTGAAAAACCATTAGCATTTATCGAAGCCGTGGTATTCTAAAGTTGTTGTTCTGATGAAAAGAATACATAATGGTACTACTTTCATTGTCATTTCCCTTTATCTCTTCTATTTTAGAGTTAAATCACTACGAACGCCTTCAAATATGCTTGTTATAAATTTAGCAATATCAGATTTTGGTTTTTCCGCAGTTAACGGTTTTCCTCTAAAAACCATCTCTGCATTCAACAAATTTTGGCCATGGGGAAAAACTGGTTAGTTTGTTCGCTGATGACAGTATGACCATAATTTGTCTGCTTATTTTTGTGTGAAATAGACTTATTAAAAAAATATGACAATATAAACTAAAAGTGTTATGAATTTAAATTCTATCGTCGCTAATTTCATTAAGATCACACATAATATTCTATATCATACACATTACTTTTAGAAAGGTTTGGTTAGTCTAAATGGAACACTGTTTACGTCCTCCTGTAACTGACCGATGATGTGTAGGGTTGAAGAAGTTATGAGTTAGGCGCAAAAAATACACCTTAAGTAGTGCGAGATAATAGTATGACTTCATGATATCTAGTCGTCAAAAGTGGCTTAGTGGACTTAGACGAGGTATATTAAAATATGATTGCATGAAAACATTAGTAATAAAAGCATAAATATAAGCACTTGAAATAATGACTTCTTAGAACGACTCCGTTATAAGCGGTTGCAGCATCAAAGCGACAAATGAAACATGATGATTTAGGTAACCTATGACGTTTCGTAGGTACATACGCCTCACGTATAATGTTGCTTGAAGAAAGCATTCACTAACTGAAAAGATGCTTTAGTTAGAGAACCATTGGAAAACCTGGGAGTACTGGACAGAAGTTAGAATTCATGGGCCATTGGATCGTCTCCCAGTGGCTTAATGGTCTACGAGCTCACCTTGTAACCCGAAGGTCCTGGATTCGAATCCCGGTGGGTGCGTACTGATGAAGAGTCCCAAACTAGACTGACGAAACAGCTGTCCAGTACTCCCAGGTTTTCCAATGGTTCTCTAACTAATGTCACCTCATGATGGAAATCCTGTAACCAATCAAATCCCTAAAAACCAACACTTGAATATGAAAAAGATGCATTTAATAATGCTCTAGAAAGATCTGAATCTAATGGAAGTTAAGGTGAGGAAACAATGAAATCTATCGTGGAAATAAGTATGATCCATTCTACCTGAAATGTTTATTTTGGCGAATAAATCTTGTTTCTCCTTCATTAGTTTAATTTTTATTATAAAGGCTAGAAGTTTTCAAAATTTCTGGTTGTATTCCCTCTTTACAAAACATATTTCTTTCACAATAATCCTTATCGTAAAACTTTTAGACAGACATTCATCAAATGTGTCATACTGCTGTAACGACAGAAGGCAAGAGTCAGGCAACAGATCATTTATTAAGGAAATCAACGCATATTTATATATTTTCATGTACATTATTATGGATAGTTAAGCAAACAAACACAGTCTTCCGATTGGTTTTTTCTCACGTAAAGTTAATCTTTCATCTATTTGTGACTGTTTCTTGAATGTCAAATCCTCTATATGTTAACTGCATCCGCCTACGCAAAGTCTGCTGTGGTCGGTTTTGAATCAATCTTTGTTCACATTTTCTCACGACAAATCTTGAGAACGTAAACATTGACGTCAATTACTGTCTACCAATTTGGCTGGTAGACAGCTCTCACCATACTACTACATACTGATCTAAACATCTGTAAACTGAACCTGTAACTAGATCATATGTGAAGACAAATTTTTCAACCTGACAAAAGAACTGCGTAGTAGCACATTTTGCCGCTGTTGTTCAATACGAATTCAAAAACTGTATTAAGTGGAAGGAATACATGATATGTCTGGAAAATGATTTTCAAAGGATAGTCTGCATATTTTCAACAATGAATATAATAAATTTTAGTAGTTATAATATAGTGTGAATGTATTTATAACTTTAAAGGTCGCCATTAAAAGTAAGGATGATTCACTTGCATTACTAAAATGAAGCCTTTAAAACTCACAAAGGAATAAGCAGTCATTATTTTAGACAAATAATAAGATAATAGAAATCAAAATTTTTAGTGTTTATGTGGGGTGAACATTTTATTTACACACAGTTTATACATTTCCAACCTGTATTTATAGTTTTTAGTAACTCATTTTGTGATTAATTTCTTTTGCTTTCACTAAAGCTTGTGATCTGTATGCTTTATCGAGTGGACTTTTTGGTTTTGTATCTCTGTCTACGATAGCCGCTGTGGCAGTAGATCGTTATATGGTGATTGCAACTCCCTTTGAAAGTGTATTTCAAACAACTAATAGGAGAACAATAATTCTAATGTTATTCTTGTGGCTTTGGTCTCTCATTTGGACGATCCCACCACTGTTTGGATTTGGTAAGACAATATAAGTAATCTAGTGTTTAGTATGATTAACAGTAATCTCGGAATATTCTTTATGAAGCAAAAATGTTACATCACAAGACAAGTGTATCGTTACCCTCTGTGACTTAAGTGATTACCTTATTCATAATAGTAAATTGAAAACGGAAACAATACAGATATCATTAACAACACTTAAAAGTGGATCTTGAAGACGGTGGGTCCAGCGTAATAATATGCTGAAGTCTGGATGATGTTATCTGGTTTCAGCATGAACTGCCACTGATAGGTAAGGATCATCTTGCTGCATGTTATATGATTGCAAATTACTTCTAAAATAATGACCACAGATTATGTTCACTTTTTAGATTAAGAGATAATTTTCTGTGGAAAGGAAAACTCAGGGTCTGTAAACTAGATTTATTAGTTGTAACTGAATCACGCGTTTGATTAAAAGGGAATAATTTCCTTGACATAAGATTAAGACTTGGGCACTGTGGTAGAGTGTAATTCCATTATGGGTAAATTTTGTTTTGATAAAGTCTCACAGTGTTATACAGTAATATTTACTGATGACGTTTCGAGCACAATTTATTGCTCATAATCATACTATACCTTGATATGATTATGAGCAATAAATTGTGCTCGAAACGTCATCAGTAAATATTACTGTATAACACTGTGAGACTTTATCAAAACAAAATTTACCCATAAGGGAATAATTTCCAACTGTAGCTGGCTTTAGGAATACTTGAATGGAAATCACTACGGATTATGGTTAGCAAATCAGATTCAGTACGTCGTCCTGTCTTACAATGGGCTTGTAGCTAACTGACTTGCATTTTTATGGAATTTTTGAGTCAGGAATGCAAATCTATCCCAATAAGCAGCGCTGACAGCCACAAAACCTTAGAAAAAACATTTTGTTTCTTCATACACTTGTAATAAAGATAGAAGCGAAGAAACTACTATTAAAACATTTTTAACACAACTGCTTTTACCACAACGGAAACGAAGATGATTTCAACTAAACATCCGAACAGTATACTGAACTGTAATTTTAGCAAATTTTTGGCTTAAGTCTTTTTGCCACGTAAACGTAAGGCAGTAAAACTTGAAAATATTTAACTAATTTATCACTAAACTTGAGTATTTCTTTACTTATTAATGTTGAAGCAAATGACACGGTGGGATACAAATTGTTCACTCAAAATAAGCATTAAAAAGTAGATACATGTTGTAACATGCTGGAATGTCCCAGCTTTCCCATTGTCTTTCACTACACTTTGGAGACCACTGGATGAATACGACTTTTAATTTGCACTTTTTCACTTCTGAAGAAAAGTGGTGAAAATAAATTGATTAAGAGAGTTTCTTATTTAATTACAATGTGCTAAGAGAGTCGCCATTATTTTAGTTTATAATTATAGTGTTAATTTCTTTTTTACATAAATATAATAATAATGATACATCAACAATAATTACTAAACTCCCTCCTTAAAAACGTTTAGAATGACTCAGTTAAATGCTGACTAACTTAATATAACTAGATAATCAATTGGTGGATGGTGTCTAGCAGTAGAATCCAGGATTCGCATTTCGTTCTAGTTGGGATTTTTCATCTGGATGTACTTCCATTCCCAGTGAGTGATGGGTCACAAGTGGTCTAGTGGATAAAGCTTTTGCGTTCGAAACTAAGGGCACTGGGTTCGAGCCTCGGTAGGAACACCATCACTCACTGGGGAATGTAGGTACATCCAGATGAGTTCCAAATCGGACAAAACGCGCATCCTGAATTCCACTGCTAGTTACCATCCACCAACTGACTTCAACTGACATAACCGGACATCGTCAAAACATCTGCAAAATGAGCTGATATGTCAACCTGAGACCGAGCACTTCTGTCCAATCAGTGGATGAGAAAAACTAAAACTGAATTAAATAAGTAACAAGATAATCTTATTATTCCTATATTTTTTATTTAAATTCACTGTACTCTAGTAGCACATTTAACCTTAATCACATTGTGAGTAGCGAGTTAGGCCAGAAACTTCATTCTGCTGAACAGTAAATTGCTTTATATGCATGAAACCTTTCTCCACCTTTCAGTTAGACTGACGATGGTCAAACTGATATAAATTATTCATTTATTTATTTCGCTGAACGGAAAACAGTTAAGGATAATGATAATGACATAGCCACTGAAATGAAATCAAGGAATTATCAAGACTCTCTTTTTCAAAGATGATTTAGGCAGAAATTTCGACATGGAATCACTATAAGGTTGTAGTTGTGAAATAACCTGATAGCTAATGGAGTCCAACAACTCAGTTAACGTTGAGGTAATGGCGGTGAATGAGCAGCATGTGCTTAACTTTACATCTTATAAATAAATACAAAAAAATTTATTTAGAAATTTTTTTGTCTAACTCTGTTAAGGTCGATATGTTCTAGAAGGATACCAAACATCATGTACATTTGACTACATATCTACAGACCTTACCAATCGATTGTTCAATATTGGTTTATTCGGCTTCGGTTTCTTGTGTCCATTGTTTCTATCGATATTTTGCTACTCCAGAATTGTTATGATTGTTAGGAGACGAGGCAAGGATTTTATGGAGATGGCAGCAAGAACAAGCACCAAGAGTGATAATCAAAAGAATAAGACTGCCACTGTATGTAAGTGAAAATCGTTTCATGTTTATTTATATGACTTCACAGATAATGAGAGTTTGAAAAGAACTGATTACTTCTGGATTAAATATTATATATATATATATATATATATATATTATTACTTCTGTATTTATTGCTAAAGAAGACAGAAACATATTTTTTGAAACCATGAATATTCTAATCGTTTAGCAGAACCTGTGGACTGCCAAATTACCTTGCTGGAATATTTATCTGTCTTAAGCACATAAAAAGCTTATTTTGTGTTTACATTGTGGCATTCACTGAAACTGTGTCCCAATAGTATACCAAATTAGCAAGTGAAAACCACTACTTCGGAATGAGAGGTCCCATTTTCCAATGCTCATGGATATACTTTTTCTTTGGGTCCACAAAAATAAAAAAATCTGTTCGCATATCAACCAGTAATTCAGAAGCATTTTACACTAAAGCCATTATCATGAGATACTACAATGTAGTAAAACCAGCAAAAGCACAAAACATTTTGTTTGCGTTATAGTCTCTGAAACTTAGATGGTTCTCATGTTATTCATCTTATATAATGATAAAAAACCCTAGACATTTAACCAGAATATTTGTCAGAGGTTATGTATGCTGAAATCATACTGCGCTATGCAAAACTCCTTTTATTGCTTACTTAACCATTGAGAAGATTCTCAGATTAATGTTGAAGACGTTTTCCTGTCAATTAAGATTTGTCAGGTAAGTGCAGCTGTATGCTTATAAGTATTGTTACAGACAAAATACTAGCTAAGTATTTACAATGCTAGAGGGTTATTACTTAGAATTATAATTTCCCGAAACTATCTCACCTGCTAGAATTTTAGTGAAATGCAAATTGTGAATAATCTGCATAAAAAAAGTTTTATACGAACTATTAAGCATTTTAGCTTTCTAATGCTTTCCACATTGTTCTAGAGACGTGTAAAGAAAACCGATTAATAAGCAGCATAAATATGTGTTCGGAATAACGTTATGCAATATGTCTGATAATACGTCCAATAAAGGAATAATTTATTGTCACATGTCTATAGTCTTCGTATGCTCAAGTTATTAGTCTTTTGTGTAAATAACACTTTCCTGTTATTGAACGCTATTATTGACAATATCTTGTAAATCTCACTAAATTTTGTGGAAAAACCTGAAAATGTAACTTGGTATGTAAATTTCGAGGCTGGAAACTACAATATTATAATGTGACTAATTCGTATGCTGCTTGATATCTAATAAAGTCAGCAGCGGAAATTATCCTTCATTTTTTAAAAGAATAATAATCCTTCCAGTGTAACATGTAGGTAGAAGAATATTTCCCAATTTGTTTAACTCCTTCCAATATTGTTTAATGAACAGGTACAGATTGGGAATCTTTTTATTTTAGTGTCTATTTCTTCATGTAAAAGTAGATAAATACTTAAATTAGTTATGAAATAATTTACTATTAACATATCTTGTCATCGTTTTATTTTATAGCATCAACAAAATCTGACAGTTTTGTGCTCAAATCAGCAGCTATACTGTTAGGTGTTTATTCAATATGCTGGACACCGTATGCTGTTATTTGTTTCATAGCTTTTATCGGTTATCCTCATATTCTTACACCAATAATGGTTGAAATACCTTGTCTTGTTGCTAAAACAGCAGCTGTATGGGATCCGTGTATCTATGCCTTCAGATATCCTAGATTTCGTGCACTTTTAGAGCGTAAATTTGGTTTATCATGCTTTGCAGGGAATAAACGCAAGGTTAGTTGTCCTATGCAACTTTATTAAATAGAAATTTTTATATATTGTGACAAACAACCACCTAGATAATAAGACTTAAAGCAGAAAATAAAAAAGGGATCATTCTCTTTGTGAATATTATAATTTCTCATTTTCGTTTATTTTTTGAATGATTTTATGAACAACTGAAAATATTAATGAAATAAACCATTTCGAAAAACTGGTTTGATGTCTGTATCTTCGTTTGAGGAAACTATCATCTTTTTATTACTTATTATTCCATGAGGTTCCGAATGGAACACAGGACTTCATCCTGTTCTCTGCAGTCCTCTTTAGCTGGACCAACGCCTCCACAAAGTCTCTCATCTCGTGCTCATGCGATGTCTTGCATGTTACTTTCGAGAACCCCACTCATCGATTCCCATTCAAGTTCCATTCGACTGCCTGGCACTCTGTGTCACCTAGCGGTCCCCTCAGTATGTGTCCGTTCCATCCTGATTTCCCTCAGCATATTTGTCGAGCGGTAAATTCTTGCATTGTTCGTTCCCAGAGTTTCTTGTTGCTCACTCTTTCTAGCAATCTAACCTTCACTGTGGAATGAAGGCAAAAGTGTGATGAAAGTATGCAGCCTGTCAGAAAAAAACATTTTATGTCGTGAGAATTCTTTAGTACTGTGATGTACAATATACGATGATCTAGTGAAATCATGGCGAACCACATCATCAAGCTGTTTTTTCTGTAAGTGACATCATGCACACATGAATTTGGTTAAATACCTAGAGTGAATGACCTCTTCAGTTATTACGTTAAGATAAGTTATATCTAAGGACGCCATATATTTCCCAGCTATCCAAATCCAAGTAGTAATTATTATTTATCGACTGAATCTGTACACTGCATTATTATTAGTTCTAGTTGTTAGCTGATTTAGCTGAATTTTATGCTCAGTAGTTAAGCTTGTCTGCATATATACACCAGCAGAAGTTTACATTATTATTCCAATCAATGCTTTTCGGTTTTTAAAACAGAAACTTCACAATACCTCTATTCAAGCACTATCTGTCCTGATGTAATGTATGCGGAAGGGACACTATAAAAAATCAATGTATCTGTATACTTCACAGTTATACGCTGAGTTTCTAGACGGAGTTTTTAAAAACTTTAGTTACTGATGGACTTAAATCTATTCTTCCTGTTGCCAAAACCACTGAAATAATTATTCAGAGGAAAGATCAAGGTGATGCTGATGTTTTATTAAACAACGATTCCTATTATAACCGATGTTTGACTGATAAAATAACAATATTTTTTACCGTTATTTTATTTATCAAACAGATTGGCAGTACTTCCAAAGCAGAAGCTTCGACTCTATGTCAAGTTGACGATTAGAAATCATTTATGGGAATGATGGAAATAGAAAATGATATTTCACTTTAATGTGCCTCAGTGTATCTCTTCTATAATCATCTTTCTCATCACTATTATTATTACTATTATTATAATTGTATTAGAAAAGTTGTAATTAACTAGAGTTATCTTTACACAAGAATATCTGATTACTCAGAAAACTACATTTGTTATTTCCATTATTTTTTAATACAATGTAAAAATTGTTGAGCTGAAATAGTTGTTAGTAAAAACAAAAATAGAATAAAACAATAGAACATTTGAATAATTTGGTGTTCCAAAGAGTCGCAGCATGGTTTTACTAGTCAGCAGTTTTATTTTTACAAATAAAAACTTTTTGAAAACTGATAGCAATGAACAATTTTATTTATTTTTTTGTCTCAATTTAATCGCCGATTTAACGTTAAGTGATTGCAGAATTTAAATGGAGATGAAATGCGAATTCTGATATACTATGAAAACAAAGATTTTTTTGAATTTCTTAAAATCTATCCGCACTTAGGAAAATGTCACGTAATTCGTAAGTTCACTTGAACATTGAATAAAATAACCTAATTTAGTAGTTACTGGAATAAGAACACAGACTTAGTTAGCGTCATTCCATTTGAAAGTCTCAGGCAAACAGAATTCATCTGATAGTCATCTTGCTAATTTTAGAAGTCATTTAAAAGTAACGAAACTAAATCTTACTTAACTAGTCTGAAAATATGGTGAAACTTCTGATAGGGTGAAATATCTTTCATATTCTATGACTTTATTCAAATGATGACGTATATTTCTAAAATACTTTCTTACCAGTGATGATTTCTGGGAATAACTTGCTGCATTTTTTCTTAATATCACCCTGTTTTCTAAATCCAACCAAACTGTTTTATAGGAATAATAACTCCATATTTGTTCAGGCTAATCTAATTGAACCAGATTCATTGCGAGCATTAAATTTTGCATAGGGTCTGGACGATTAAGAGACAATCACATAGCTGCTAATAGAGTTTTCAAATTCGAAAAGATTAAATCTGATATTGCGAATAAGTTGTATGAGTCTCTGAGTTAGTGTTAGTAATGAAGACTTTAAGGTATCAGAAGATGGCATTTCAAAAAAACGTCGAATAAGAATATTCGCTTAACCCGGAAATTAAAAATTATATTATTTTGAATCATTTATATCTAAAGTTTGTAAAATGAAGAACGTATGACTCAATGCCACCATAAGATTAGTACCTTACAACTATGTTTCAGACTCTCAAATCAATACTGGTGATTTCTTTAAATCTAACAGTAAAATACGGAGGATTAATTGGTTTTACTAGACTCTTATAATTTAAAATGAATCAACACATTCACTGAAGAATCAGTAAGCATTGTTGCGATTAATTAACGTCGTCATCAAGTAGTAAAATAAAAGATTTTAAGCTGCAAATAATGCTTAAGAAAAATGGCAGCACCGAATCACAGTTAACCTCTACTCAGCAGTTTGTTTACTGCGTAACCTTAACTTTTCAATATTGCACTATATGTTCTTGAATAAAAATTTTTATTTCATAATGCGTAAATATACTTTTTCGCTATCTTTTTCTAATCATCACTGCACAGATATAAACGTTTTTTTAAAATTAGGATAGGCCATCATTATCTAGCTTTCAGTTGCAGTAATATAACTTCATGGATCTAAAGTAAAGTGATTTACTAATTCTGACTATTCAGTATAGACTAAAAGAGTCCAATATGCAACTGATAAGTGGCTAACTCTGTCCAAGTCAGTTTATTTTAAATGAAATACTGCGACATCGTTGTTATTGAAAATTATTGAAGATGCTGATCGAAGGTTTTTTGAGCTTCCTCAAATACTGTAAGGGAAATGTTATTTATCAGAGAATCAATCTGGAGTCCTAGATGATATAAAACCAAATTGACAAACTGAGAATATTTGCTCGAATTCCGGTGTGTCCGAAACTAGTCCATTTTAATCAACACTGTCGTCACGCTTTTGCATTAGGTCACAACTTCTCTTGTGCCACACATGAATAGAAACTGAATGGAGAATGTCTTTTTTGTCAGATGGTTGGAGGAAATAGTCAAGGAGCCTTAGACCTAGATTTCGTGATTATTGGAACTCATCAGCGAGGCGTATCTGCCATCTTCAAGGAAATCTTTTCCATTCTGAGATTTAGTTTGTACCCAACGAAGGACAAATGCATGATTTTCGCTACCACTTAGTGTCCAGTGAAGGTTAAATGTTACAGACACTCAATCGTAATGCTAAGTAGCTTAGTGTTTACATCTCTGACTACAGCACTGGGTCACACGGAATTGAATCTCAGAAGATATATGAGTTTCTTCAAGATTTCTGGTATGTTTTGCTGACGAGTGCCAATAAGCAGCAATCCTGTGTCAGAAGTCTTTTGCAGATTGTATAAAACCTTCTAACAACAATTCAGTATGCAGGCCACCTAACATGATGATCACATTGCAAAATTGGTTGAGATAATACAGTTTCCGCCAAACTAAGGACCAGATGCATGACAACAGTAAATACCTAACATTCAACGGAAGTACGGAGTCTTCTATTGTAAACCTCCCAAATATAGCATTGTCTGTAAATTGTGTAGCTTTACGTTCCGCTTAATTATCTAAATGATGCAGAAACATTCATAATTTACATTTGATGGTGTTCATCTCCATCTGTCCATAGAAATGACTTGTCTAAGCTAATGTTCTCATCATTTCATACTATTTATTGCATGATGGCATTTGTTGTTATTGTTGTAACAACAGAGACTTGGTTCAAAGTTACGCAATTTATTGTACACAATATTTACTCAATAGTGATATTAACTATTTCATCGTGGTGGGATGAGACAAATAATTATTACCTCCAATAATATATTATCTAGTGTCTATCTAGTGACATAATGTCTATATTGGTCCGGTATTCAAACAGAAACTTATCCCAGTGTTTATTGTGCCCAATGCCTTATGGAATAATTTCTATTCATCTTCATACTGAAACCAGCTACATTTACAGAGTAAACTGCAGGCGAAATAAAACCGTATCGGTGTAAATTCATCCCATAAATAGATCCAAAGTTATGCGTGTGAATGCTGAATATGAATGAAGTGATATTTCTAGTTTCCCCTCCATTTGAAATGCACCTAAAAAGGATATTGGTGTTCTGGGAATTACTGTTTCATATAGTATTTCAAATCTATCAAAATTTGAATAAAGTCAAAAACTTCTATAAGTTTAAGTTGCATCTAGTTTGCGCATGTCTTAATTATGTATCTTCGTTTTTATATCAGATAATGTTCGTTAATCACAGTATCTGATTCTGAAACTTCATTCAAAGGCTATTGTAGTATTTATTGAAGCCTTAGAAAGTCATAAACATAACAGACTCTTCTTTTGGTCATTTAATATATTTTTGATACTTGTTCTAAGGAAACAGTACGACAAGGATTTCAGTTGTTCCATATTATCTTTTTCGATGAATGAAGCTTAAATATCCAGAGCCTAAACTAATGTGTGCAGGTAGCTTTCAGTGAGTTCCGCCAAAAAATCAGGCTTGACTCTGTAATGTTATTAGATTATGTTACTGTTAAACTGGAGAAGATTTTTTTTAAAAGTCCAACCCATATATAATTTCTTGTTTCATATCTGTAATACAACGAGCTGTATCACGGTCGTTAGATAGTGAGGTTTTTGATTGGCATTTGATTCACCCAAAGTGAATTATATGATACTGTCTCATATTTTGAAACAGTGAAGAGGCTGTGTATCCCAGATGGATGATTTTGTTATTGATTAAAAATGCCCATTAAAATTTTCAAAAGAATGGATACTGAACAAATAGTACTCTTTTCGATAAATTCATCATCAGGTCCTACAGTTATATATACATTATAGTGAATGAATGAATAAGTCTTATGAACAACATCAATGTTTAAATAACATCAAATCGATAATATTGATAGGTTACAGCTCAACAGCATCAACATAAAAATAAGCTGAATGTCAGAAGAATAAGGAAAGATAATATTACAAATTCATGAGTTTGTAGTTTCTACTGAGGGCCAGGGCAGTAGTAGGGGCTGGAATTGTTTCTTTTGAACACAGAGCACTGGTTGTTTGAGGCGAATTGCAATAGCCTCTGTTGTTTGGAGTATGCCGTGCTTCGCATATTTTGGCAATTTATTAAGCACCCGGTATATTATAGAGAAGGATTTTTACAAGAAAACCAGATGGTAGCATAAAAAAAATTTGCATAGAACATATCCCAATACGGCTAAGTAAAGGTGTAGTTAAAAGTATTAACAGCTCGATATTACACCATCTGGTGCAAACCGGTTACAAAGCCAGCGTAGACGAATCCTTCTCTATAATATACCGGGTGAACTATGCTTGCGAAGGTTGAAGCCAGAGGAAACTCTGGTGGAGGACCGTAGCGATTCTGACGTGCAAATCGATCGTATAACGTGAGTATAGGGGCGAAAGACTAATCGAACCATCTAGTAGCTGGTTCCCTCCGAAGTTTCCCTCAGGATAGCTGGCATTCTGAGATATAAACAGTTTTATCCGGTAAAGCGAATGATTAGAGGCATTGGGGAGAAAACATCCTCAACCTATTCTCAATATACCGGGTGCTTAATAAATTGCCAAAATATGCGAAGCACGGCATACTCCAAACAACAGAGGCTATTGCAATTCGCCTCAAACAACCAGTGCTCTGTGTTCAAAAGAAACAATTCCAGCTCCTACTACCGCCCTGACCTTCAGTAGAAACTACAAACTCATGAATTTGTAATATTATCTTTCCTTATTCTTCTGACATTCAGCTTATTTTTATGTTGATGCTGTTGAGCTGTAACCTATCAATATTATCGATTTGATGTTATTTAAACATTGATGTTGTTCATAAGACTTATTCATTCATTCACTATAATGTATATATAACTGTAGGACCTGATGATGAATTTATCGAAAAGAGTACTATTTGTTCAGTATCCATTCTTTTGAAGATTTTGTTATTGTTGTTGTTAAATTCTCTGACTTGCATAGCTTAATTGTGTAGCTATCATTGTTTTTCTAGATAGCATCTTCAGAGCAATAAGACAGTATCAAAATTATCTCGTGTCTTAGACATTATTTATACGACAGTTTGCAGAAATTAAACTAGTCAAAATAATGATGAGTACCAAGGAGTTATCATGCGTTGTTTTACTTCGTCGAAACATTACATTTATTTTATGGGGAAGTTTTCAATAATGAAATGTATTCTCTGGAGAGAAAAAAAGAATAATTGAGTGATATTTAGTGTGGACTTAATTCTGATTACTGGTTACCACACAACTCAATTGCTTACG